GTTGGCGGGCGGCGGGGGGCAGCGGCTGCTGGCGACTCGGCTCGCGAGGGGCCAGGGTGCGCGGCCGGGCCTGCGGGGCGCACTCAGGGCAAAAGCCGACGGGACCCGGCTCATCCCACCCTCGCGCCCGACACCCCCCAGCACAGCCCAGAAGCCGCAGCGAGCACCAAGCACTGTGTGCCCGGCACCCGCCCCGGCTTGTTGGGCTCAGCACCGGCACCCCGAGTCCTGCCGCCACCCCAGGGTGCAGAGCACATCCCTGGCACCCGCCGCCGAGGGACACGGGGTGGTACCCGAACCGCAGCGCCAGCGAGCGCGGGGTCCAGGCAGCTCCCTCCCGCTGCCTCCATGGAGACCAGAGACCAGCGCCCAGCCCCCTTGTGCCGTGCCATTCCATACTGTGCCGTGCCATGCCATACTGTGCCGTGCCATGCCATGCTATGCTGCAAGGTGCCATGCCATGCTGTGCCGCAAGGTGCCATGCCATGCTGTGCCATGCCGTGCCGTGGTGCGTGCACAGTACCACGCCATGGCATGCGCTCAATGCCGTGCCATGCCTTGCCATGCTGCACGGTACGCTGCCATGCCGTGCCAAGGCGTGGTGTGGTGCCGTGGCACACCTCTGAGCGAGCATCCCCTGGGCAGAGACTGGCGACCGCTGGGCTCTCCCCGCTGCCTCTCCCCGGGGACACGGGAGCCGCTCGCCGGGGGGACGCGGGGGCCAGGCCCCCTCACCGCCAGCTCCTCCAGGCACCTCTCCAGGCTGCGGAGCGGGCAGATCTCCACCGGTGCCGCCGTTATAACTGTGAAAGCAAATTCCAGTCCCCGGCCCCCCGAGCAGCCGGGTGGCCCTGGACACAGCCGGGAGCAGGGGCCAGGGGGATGCCCAGATCCCCGGTACCGGACGCCCACACCTCTTCACCCCCGTACCGGGGTCCCCAGCCCTGTGGCTCACCCGCTGCACGCACCGTCCCCGGCTGCACCGCGGGGCTTTGCCAGCCACCAGCTCCCGGCACGGCCCAGCTCCATGGGGACCGGGGTCTGCCAGGGGGCTCGTCCTGCGGGCAGGCAGGCTGGCCCTGGGGAGACCCCCGCTCTGCGGAGACGCCTGTGCCGGCCTTAGGAGAAACCCCTGCTCGGCGCTGGGTGCTCCCAGGGTGCCGACGCCGGACCCCTGGGGGGTGCAGCCCCCACTCTGCCATCGCTCAGCGCTTGGCTCCCCCGGACCCCGTGCACCACCGGGATGTAGCCGGGTTCCCGCCGGCGCTGCCTGGGCTGGCGGGGGCTGCAAGGTGGCTTTGCCCCCCGCTCCCTCGTGTCCCTGCCGTCACACGCTGCCAGGCACCACGGCAGAGCCCCTGCGTCCCCGGTGCCCGGCGGGGCAGGACCGGGCTCTCGCCCACCCAGCACAGCCCCGGCGCTCACCGCCTGCGCCCGTCCGCTCAGAGCCCGCTGCCATGTCCTCGCTGCCGGCGGCACTTGGCTCCGTGCCGGCCTGGGGGCCACCAAAGAGAAACTCGGGGATCTCCTTCACCAGCCGCACCAGGGCGCCGAGGGCCGGGCTGCCGGGGGGCCCTGAGGACGGGGGAGGTGGGGGTGCCGGGAAGGGCAGCCCCCCCGGTGCCGGGCGCCGAGCTCTCCCCGGCCGGAGGAGCAGGACCTCCGTGCCATCCCCGCTCCGGCTGGGACGAGCACCGTGGCAGGGCCCTACCGAGGGAGGCCAGCAGCTGGGATGGCCCCGCTCCCGCTGCCATTCCTCCAGCAGCTCCCACTCCTCCGCCGAGAACCGGACCGCCACGTCCTCGAACGTCACCAGCGCCTGCGGGGACATGACCGGGGGTCCCTGCCCAGCCCCTGCCGGGGCAGCGGAGCCAGGAATAAACCCCACGTGCCTGTGGGGAACGGGGATGTGCTCACTGATGCTGCAGGGACGCGCCGGGGGGCTGGGGAGCGGAGCCCGTGGGTGCTGGGTACAGGACAAAGCCGCCGTCCCCAGGAGCCCCCGGAGCGCCCGAGCCCCTCGCGGAGCCGTGCCAGGCGACGGCAGGACCCCCGGCCAGGCCACAGGTATGTGGGGACGGCGGGGGCGAGCAGCCGCGCCAGCTCCGGCTGGGAAAGGGCGTGCTGCTGCGCCCGTCCCGCGCGGGCAGGGAGGCAAAGGCATCCCGGCATGCTTCCCGGCACACTTCCCGGCACGCTTGCTGACAGGTCCCTGCACGCTTCACGCTCCGTCGGGGAGGACGTGAGATAACCTGCCCTGACACCTGGTATTTGCAGCGGGAGTCACTCCGTCCCACCTCTCCCTCCCCGCGCTGGCTGGGCGGCGGCCCAATGCCACGCGCGATGGTCGCTCCCGGCTCTGTGCCACCGTGCCCGTCCCGCTGACACCAACCATGCAGGGGCTTGCCAAGGCAACCTTGCGCTGAGCGGTGCCGGAGGGAGCCAGTTCGTAGCCCCCCCGTGGCATTTGTCCCCGTCCCGCTCCCAGCCCCTGTCCCCACGGCGCCCCGTCCCCACGGCCTCCGAGCGGGAGGTGTGCGTGGCTGTGGGTGAAGACGGGCTTTGCTGCCGGCCCCCCCGGCAGCTCACCCCTCCAGCACGGCAAAACCAGGCTCAGCACATGCGCGTGGGGTGCTTAAACCCCTCCGGGCCGGGGAGGGGACCCCTCGGGGGGCTGGGGTTCCCCTGCAGCTCCTTGGGTCCACGGGGGACAGAGGTGACACCGAGCAGCTCCGGACCCACGCCCTGGCCGGCCCGCGCCCTGCGCCGAGCAGGGGGGTGAGGGTCAGCCCCCAGGTCACAGCAGCCCCCCAAATTCGGGTCTGCCCCGCTGCTTTGCTGGCCCGAGGTTGTGGCCAGCCCGGCAGCACCCAGGGGCCCACGGAAGCATTTGGGCCCCGTCCACGGGGAGCCGTGCTCCCGCCGTGCCCAGCACCACCCCGGTGGGACGGTGACCCCCGGGGACGGGCAGCCACGGGCAGCGCTGGCAGGGCCCCGGCCCCGCGCCGCCAGCCAGACCCTCGCCCAGAACTGCTCCGGGGGTGCTCCCCTCCCTGGTGCTCCCCCATCCCAGTGCTCCCCTCCCTGGTGATCCCCCATCCTGGTTCTCTCTCCCCATCCCGGTGCTCCCCATCCCGGTGCTCCCCCATCCCGGTGCTCCCCATCCCAGTGCTCCCCTCCTTGGTGCTCCCTCCCCATCCCAGTGCTCCCCATCCCGGTGCTCCCCATCCCGGTGCTCCCCTCCATCCCG